GGGGGGGGGGGGAGAGAGAGAGTTTGTTACCTTGTAAATAGAAATGTTCTTAAAAGAGGGCATCTACGACTCCGAGGAAGTAGAAGAAGTTTCGCTTATGAAAAAATAAATATTTTAATTAAGTTAAAGCTGTTTAATTACAGATCCTCAACTATATAATAGCTTATACGGCCAACAGCTCTTACGTGGGGAGGGAGAATATTACTTCATAAGACATTATGGACATCGGTGTGCGAGGCTTAAATACACTAAGTATAAGGTTTAATGTCATACGTGGCATCATTGCGATAAATGTCAATCAAGAATCGCTCAGCTTTTAAACCGTATTATTTCTGTCTGTGCATGGGCAAAAGTTTGATATTTTAACTTATTACATAGTGGTACCATGGAACACGAACTTAATTCGATCCAGAAGGCTGGTCGGGTTACGATTTGGTCGAGGTTCAAGTCGAATTCCTCCATAAGAAATGTAAATGTAAATCAGTGTAATCCGTTCCAGACCCCCAAAACACTGCCTATTTAAACCTATCTACCTACCTACCTAACTAATGATAAAAAGCAATAAACATGAAATGACAATTTCTGAGCGCTTTACCTGAATTGAGCTGAGCTGATGACATACTGGAAGTGGCAGGTGGAGAGGGGGAGGGATCCGTACAGGTTTTAACGTTTAGGGTGTTTTGTAGTGTTGCAGTTAGATTTTTCTCGACCGACCAATTCGATGTCCGAATCTGTGGAGTTAAAAGGCGTTCGAGTTCTAAGGTTCCGGGTATATATGGTTGTCCCACAAAATTCATTGGTGTTAACCCAAACGTACATAGGTAGGGTTTTGTAAATATTTGTTTCCAAAAATTGTAATTTATTAAAAATGATCAATCATTCCTAGATCCCAAACAACGTTAACACCTACGCGAAACTATCAAGGTTTGTTGAAAACTGTTGGAGTGACATTTTATTGCGTGACCTGACCGGCATTGTCACGCGTCACGGGGGAACACCTGTAACACAACAGACCTAAAGAACGGCACTGGCTAAACAAATACATCCATCCATCCACTCACACACCGGGGACCATATGCCTGGACCCCCCTTCGAAGTTGCTGCCTAGTTGCTGCCTTACGCTTTGCCACACCTGCCTTGTGAGATTTGTCGGAGATTTGTATTCCTGTTTTTCCGGGTCAGTTGGCTGTTTTAACGAGCCCTTAAAATGTATGCCATCGCTGTTCTTTCAACCATCCATCCATTTTCAGTAACCGCTTAACGTATTCAGGATCGCGGGGGTCCGGACCCTGTCCCCGGGGCTATAGGCGCAAGGCAGGGAATAACCCAGGATGAGGCGCCAACACATCGCAGCTGTCGTTTCAATCCTTTAGTTCACCTCAGAGCGTAATCAGTTAATTAATTCGCATTAAGGGATTGCATCTGTTTTAAATGGATGATAATTTATTTCAGTACAAATGAATTGCTTTATCTGGGATTGCAAGCTGTAATTTCCATACTCTAGAACAGGGGTCTCAAACTCCAGTCCTGGAGGGCCGGAGCCCTGTGTAGCTTAGTTCTTAGAGCTGTGGGGTAATTAGCACAAAGAGTTGTATTAAATGAGGGGAAACCCAAAAATGTGCAGGGCTCTGGCCCCCCAGGACTGGAGTTTGAGACCCCTGCTCTAGAACAAAGGGTCCTTCTCATTGAACTTGTTGTTCTTTTGGTAGGTGTTTGAAATGCTCAGTTCCTTCAGTTCCTTCCTTAAAGGAGTGCTGTTTGGCAGCCTCTTCTGCCTGATGTTCTCCTACCTCACCGACCTCAGGCAGCCGGCGCAGCCATCTACTATAAGGGACCATTTTCACCATCACATCAAGGCCTCCAGCAAGGAGGCACTGATCCAGATGCCGGACTCTGTGAAGCTGGAGATGAGCCACAGTGTGCGGGTGTATTGCATCATCATGGTGCGGCCCAAGATCCTCACTAGCTGGGCCGCAACGAAAGACACGTGGAGCAAGCACTGTGACAGAGCGGTCTTCTACACCTCGGAGTCGTCCAAGGCCCTGGAGGCGGTAGATCTGCAGGAAGAAGACGAGTGGGTGAAGATGCGCAAGGCCCTGACGCACGCCTACAATAATGCCGGCGACCTGCGCTGGTTCTTTGTGGCTCAACCCACCACTTTCGCCATCATTGAGAACCTGAAGTACCTCGTGCTGGACAAGGACCCCGGGCAGCCATTCTACATCGGCAACGTGCTGAAGTCGGGGGACCTGGAGTATGTGGAGTACAGCAGCGGCATCGTGCTGAGCTTCGAGGCTCTGGGGCGCCTGGTCCTCGCCTTTCAGGATGCGCTTAAGTGTCCCCTGAACAGCCACTCGCTGTGGAAGCGCACCGAGGAGAAAGAGCTGGCTGTGTGCCTGAAGTACACGGGGGTGTTTGCCGAGAACGGGGAGGACGCGCTGGGCAAGGGGCTTTTCAACAGCAAGAGCGTGGGGGCGCTCATCACGGACAGCTTATCGAAGAATCCCACAGAGGTGGTTCACGGCTGCTGTCCCGATCTGGCCATCACCTTCAACGACATGACACCTGAGCAGATGCACGTCATGATGTTCGGCGTGTACAGGCTGCGGCCTTATGGGCACGACTTCCATGACTCTCTCATGATCTTGCCTCCTGAGGGGTCAGATAATGATTGATTGCGACTAACTACAGTCTCTAGTCCAGGGGTCTCAAACTCCAGTCCTGGGGGGGCCGGAGCCCTGCACATTTTTGGGTTTCCCCTCGTTTAACACACCTGATTTAACTCTGTGCTAATTGCAACACAGCTCTTGAGCTGAATCATCTGTGGTGGAACAGGAAAAGAACTAAGCTACACAGGGCTCCGGCCCGCCAGGACTGGAGTTTGAGACCCCTGCTCTAGTCGCTTTAACTTGTTGGACTTTTTGATACACAAAGGACTGGCCGTGCCTTATGAAAGTATTTTAGTTTTGTTTTTGACAATGTTTTGTTTTTGAAGGAATGCAAAGCAAGCCACGCAAAATTTCTTGTCCAAACCAGCATGGGGAGTTTTTTTATTTTTTATATAGCCTTTAGCTGTTTGGAGGTCAAAGTCTGCCTCGCCCCGCAGTGAGCATATGTCACTAGTTTGTTTTTTAACCGGATTTTATATTGAAATTACAATAAATTATGTTTGGCTTTCCAGCAAAGCCACTATGCAAATATAAAGCATGAACTTCAACATGTTGTTCAAACAGAAGGTATTGTTTAATGTTTTTGCAGAATCCAAAGTCAGTTTTTCATGTATATCCAGCACCTTGTCTGTTGTCTAAAACAACAGATAGCAAAGAATGTGGAAATGGAAACTAACCAGCTCAGGACAATAAAACATGACAGACTGTGAGGAATGATAGAACAATGACCTTGGGTCTGACGTACAGCAGTGAGCAAACGGTGACATGTGTAATGTCATTTAGTGATAATATCCAGCTGTTTCTGTTGTGGGAAAAAAAACATAAATTCAGGCTTCTTTTTCTGCTACATACTGTGAACGTTAAACATAATTTAAATTTGTGTGGGGAGAAAAGAGCAGCTCAGTAAGAATGAAAGACCCTTTCATTCACGTTGCCATTCTTTGTGTTACTTCAGTTGTTTGCCCTCCAGTAGTAGTTTGCAACTCCAGTACTCACTTGTGTTAATAGTGTTTCCAGGGACACCCTCACTCCTGTTCCTCTTCCCGATCATTTGAATGTCAGGATTGTCGTTTCCTGATTTAAATGTTGTCACTTTTATGAGTCCGTGGTATATAAATATGTTGTGTGATTCGCCTGAAATTTTTTCTGAATCCTCTATCAATGTGACTTTAATTGACCACTTTGTTATCCAAGTTATTGTGCTGTCTCTCTTATAGCTCAAACACATTTCACTATATTTACAATCCAGTAATGCATTATTAAATAATGCATATTATATATGTTTAATAGTTACCTGGTCCAGGGTGATAGTAAAGTAAGTGATTATGGAGGTTGGCTAAATTAATAATTTTATTTATGTGATACTGGAGTGATTTGCAATCAATACAGGGTTTGTAGTAATAACAGATTTTTAATGTGGATTTTTACAATGATGATTTGAGCTATGCTGGGATTGATAATAATGTATTTTGAACAAAAATATTTTACAATTTTTGTAAATTATAATTGCTGTTGTATATTATTTGTCTGTACAATATAATTATGTATACAGTGTAATTTAAATTATGAAATTAAATATATTAAAATATATAGCTTTCATTTATTGTATGTACTGGGGAGTGGATATTTGATATGAGATTGACAGAGCCAGCTATTTTTTCCTGATGTTCTTTATTAAGAACATTTTCTGTAAAACAGATTCATAGTGGGGGGAAAATGTGTACAAAAATATGGGTTCTCAGAATTTCTATGCAGGTAATAGAAATCCAGAAATATTTCTGTTTTCATCAGCACAATGTTCCCCACTGCTTTTACATCTCAGAAACAGGAATACAATGCTACGTACAGGGTTCCTATGGAAATGTACATTTTGGTGTTTAATGTTTGACGTCTAGATAAGTATGGAAATGTATTGATGTTTCCAGACTAATGCAGCAAATTGGCCTGCTGTGTATTCTTTAAAAGAAAATCTGAATTTACTCATTCATCTATTTCATTAATATGAGCTGGTTGTCAACACCAGAATGTGCACAGGGTGCACGTTGAAGACCCTCACCCCGAACCAAGGACCGGAGCTGTGTCTGTGGGGTCTGCACTCGATAAATCTCCAACAGGAAATATTCATGTAGGCTACCTTACAATTTACAATGTCCACAATGTGGAAATGGAAGTTTTTCACGTTTGCCTTAGCAATGCCAAATGCAAAATATGCATGAAGCAGGTTGTCAGCCACAGAGCAGGCAGAAGCATTGCTGTCCAGCGGCGGATCCTGGCACTGAAGAGCTCAAAAACAGAAATGCCACTTTACTTGATAGGGCCCAAATACTTAGTAATAATTCAGTTACTACTAAAGTACAAACCATGAACAAATATAGTTGCTACTTGAGGTAAAAGATACTTCACAATGATGAATAAATATGAGATCAGTATTTCACTTGTGTTATTCATTACTTCATTCAGTAGTTCACAAAGGTTTACAGAATTAACAGATATAGTAACAAAAATAGTAACTGCTTGATATAAAACACGTCAAAATTTAGTAATGATGAATTAACATGAGATCAGTATGTAACTAAGACTTGATTAGTGGGTAATTAATGCTATATTATTTGTGCCCCTAAAGTACTTTGTAACCAAAAATTGTTTATCCACATTCGTGTGTGTGTGTGTGTGTGTGTATATACAGCCATTGAAAAAATTAAGATGGGTGTCCATCTGTGAATACTACTTTTTTCTGTGCAAACTCCAGCCTGATTTTTCTGTTTCTCATTAATGAAGGGCTTCTTCCTTGCTATATGGGACTTCAGTCCTGCTTCTAGGAGCCTGATACAAACTATTCTAGCAGTGCACTTCACACCTGCACTTAATGTTTCCCATTCCTTTAGAAGGTCATCCTACAATTTATGAGAAACTGTTGGATAAGTTAACGGTCATCTCTGGCATTAGAACGTGACTTCCACCCTCTACCTAGCTGGGTTCTGGTTGTTCCCAGTGTCTCCTGCTTCACCTTATTCTTATGTAGTGCTGTCTTAGAAATTTTGAACCTGGAAGCATCCTGCTGCTCAGCATAGCCTTCTGCCGGCAGAACCACGATTAAATCAAGATTTTAAAATGCAGATGTTTGAGAATATAGAGTGGTGTCTTAATTTTTTTCTACAGCTGTATAAAAACACACACATACACACACACACAAGTTGGTCTTCCTATCTAAATGTGGACTGTCCATTCATTTCTATGGGAAAAAGCCTAATCCCAATCACGACACCCTTAACCCCTACCCAGCCCTAACCTTAACCATAAGTAACCAACCCAAATACAAGACTTTTGGCATTTTAACTTTTTTGATTGCATTCACAGATTTTTATAAAACTGAGGTTATCCAAATGGGGACCTCACAAGATGTCCCCAAACGTAGGGAAATTTCAGGTTTTATTACACTTCGGGGACAATGGTCTCAAATGTGATCTATGCAAACCCACACACACACCCATATATATATATATATATATATATATATATCTATCTGTCCTGATGTATTATCATCAGCCAAGTCAAACACAATTATATAGCTATTGTACACACTTCCGTAAATGGCAGTAAGACACACATACACATACTTTGCACCTGTTGCTTACTAAACTTGTAACTAGAACTAGTTTTATTTAACGTCATTTATACAAAACGCTTTTCGTAATTGATATACTGCCATCTTGTGGCTGAAAATATATGACAAACAGCGGCTTATTTGACATTTCCGTGCGAAACAAGTACTTCCGGCGGCATTCATATTTTCAAATACACTTAATTAAAACAAACCTTTGGTTATGTTCAGGTGCTCACTTTCTGATGTAACAATGCATTTATTACCTTTGGGTAAAAGTAAGAGTCAGAAGTTTAAAAAAAGCCCAACCATAAGAACGCGACATTGGTCAACAGGAAGTGATATACCGCCATGTTTTTTCTGCCAATAACAAGAAAAAGAGGCTCTAGAGTGGAGCTGTAGTTTAATTTTATTGTCTGTTTTCAATTAGAAAAAGAAACGTAGACGCTGGGGATTGTTAAGAAGTTAGCTCAACGCGTCGGGGACGGATATCGAGGCTTTTAGGATTAGCAGATTAGCTATTTGATTTTGTAATTTTTTTCATGTTTCCAACAGGTTTATCTTCCCCTAATCCCCCAGCGCCAGCTCAGGACGTTAGACCAGCAGCTTCTGATGGTAATAACGGCAGCTCCACGTCCAAGAAGAGGAAAATAAACAGTTCCGATAAGGAAGACTTTGACTCGGTGTCTTCGTCTCCCCCGAAGATAATCAGCAATTCCTCGGCGTCTTGCTCCGGCGCGGCCGTTTCCCACCACAACCAGAAGAAGTTGAGGTTTGAGGACTCAGTCGATTTCATTGGACTGGATGTGAAAATGGCTGAGGAGTCCTCGTCGGCATCGTCTTCTAACAAGGCTAAAATGTTCCTGGCCGCCGGTGTCGGCCACCACGCAAACGGGCTGACCAAGTCGGCCGGCACCGGCACTGGCACTTTCTCCAACAACAGCAAACCCGGGGCCGCTAAGAAACTAGTTATCAAGAACTTTAAAGGTACCCGGCCAGATAACCAGCAGGCTGTTTGGCTAATTAGGCGCTTATTGCGATTGTGCATCATTTTTGTAATCCCCAAAAAGAAAAACGGACATCACATGCATCCATCGCCCTGTAAAGTTTAACCCCGAACGCAGTTTAATTATAGGAGCATTATCTCGGTTTTGTCCGGCTTCAATCCCGATGGAAATCTGTCTGTAAAATTTCCAGTCGAGTATAACTTATTACTTTTTCTTCATAAAATATCACTTTACCCGACTATTTTTAGAAACATGTTAGATTGACAAATTGGTAGCTATTGACCTATAAACAGTCTGACCAGCATGTCAACAACTAATGAACCGAGAGCACCTGTGACGTTCATCCTGCAAAGTCATATTTTTCTCCTTAAAAATTCCTTTTGCAGTTTAGGAAACTATGGTATGAACGGTAGGGCAATTTTAACAAATTGAAATATTGCAAATCCACAGAAATTTAAATGTGATGCCCATCATAGATGATAATAGGGGTTATTCTGATGCTAAGCTGTTTGTATGTGAAGTCCCTTTTTTCAGTAAAGACTCATTCAAACAAGAAAGAATATTTGATTTTTTGGTACTGAAATTTTTTGTTTAATCTCATCTGAAAATCACCATCTTTTGCTTCCAGAAAAGCCTAAATTGCCAGAAAACTACACTGATGAAACTTGGCAGAAACTGAAAGAGGCTGTGGAGGCCGTTCAGAACAGCACATCGATCAAGTATAACCTGGAGGAGCTGTACCAGGTGAGGTGTGCCCTGGGGGATGAGCTGCCTGTGCTGTGGCAGTCTGCCACCCTCCAGGTGGGCTTGTTATGCCAAGAGCCCACAGGTGGCATGGATGTAAAGCCATGAACTATTGCCTTCATCTTGTTGATAACAGGAGGACTGAGTTTCTTTTGAGGCCGGATGAGATCATGTCAATTTCTTTTGGAAATGCATGATCTCTAGTCATTGGTGATACGTGTAGATACTCACTCCTGCTTTTTCGTCTATTCAGAACATCTGGCGATGCTGTTAATGCGTTTTCTATGTGTGGCTCAGCAGGCTATGCCTCTGTGCCTGTTATCAGAAGGTCGCCGGTTCAAGCCTGGACTTAACAGAATAGTCATGGCTGCAGGTCCTTGAGCCCCAGCTCCATGGCCACTGCTACGGGTGGCTGCCCTTCGCGGACAGCTCGCTCTCACCTACAGAGAGCAAGTGGGGGAAGCATCAAGAGAATTTCCCCACGGGGGTCAATGAAATATCGATAATCATTATTATTAATAAAGTAGTAAAACCATGAGCACCAACTAAATAACCGTTCATTCCAGTAAAGGTGCTGAATTGATTCTTTATGCTTTTTCTTCCAGTTGAGCCCTCATGTCTGAGATCCCTTCTCCCGTTATGAATGATCATTTACTATTCTAAAGGGACCTTTCTTCCAGGGTGGAGATTCAGGGAATGTTTCCTATCAGCAGCTGATCGTTTTCTTGTGCCTGAGTGCTGTTCTGCCAGTGTACAAACAGTACTGTGTCATTACCCTGCTTGTAAGCATTATTCTTATGAATTCTGTTTTCTCGCTTTGCATTACAGGCTGTCGAGAATCTTTGCTCCCATAAGATTTCTCCAAAGCTTTATAAGCAGCTAAGGCTCGTCTGCGAAGATCACATAAAGGCTCAAATTCACCAATTCAGAGAATATCCTTTCCTCTCCTCTTCAGTCTTCAAGACATGTAAAAGTATCATTGTTCTTTTTAATGTTATGGTTTAATTGTATACATTATTGTACAGTGTATCGTGCCAGTTATCCTGAGTGAGATTCCTGTGTGTAATTTCATGGTGGTCTGATGTGATAAGCTAATCATGGGGGATAGGTGCAATTTTTTATTTATTTTCCCTTAATTCCAACTTCACGGAGGCATTGGACAGCGTGCTATTCTTGAAGAAGATAGACAAATGCTGGCAAGATCA